AATTCCTTAGATTTTTCATAGTTATATGAAGACATTTGTTTTTCAGAACCAAAAACATTCAATTACAAAACTATTGCAGCTCTTTTCAGTTGCAGAAGTTAGAGTCATAATACACAATTAATTGATTTTACATAATCAAGGCTGATTTACTAATAAGACTTGTCACTATTTGCTTATTAGATTCCTCCTAATCCCAGTTACTGAAAGAACAATTTCTAATTTTAACCAAGAAAATTTTTTGTCAGTAAGGAACAGTTTAATTCATGCTTTTGTTCTTTTATCAGTACTATTAAAATGCTTTGATTTGTGTAAGAGGTTGTAGAAGATAAATCTGAACCCTAATGTAGTCCTTTCGGCTGTCACTTTCTGAGGTCATGAGAAACTGGAGGGCAATCTCCCTGGATTCTATTGTTGCTCCTCAGTAGCTTGATTCAGGTAGGGCAGGTTTTGAGACAATGGCCAAAGTAAACAAACTATCCCTTCCCTAATCCCTCCCCATCCACAAAAATGAGTTTGCATAAGCCCCAGTGTTTAAAACTCTACTTACTTCTCATTAAAATTCCCTAAACACTTAGCAACCTTCTTTCCCTGTCTGGTGATGGCTTGCTTAGGATCTCCCCTTCCATTTCAAGAAAATCGGACGTATTGGAAACATTAACCTGGCTGACTAGACCTCCTCTTGGCCAAGAGGGTCCCTAAACTGAGTTGCTAGCTATGAAAAGGAGGAAATTTAAAGAGCCTCTGCCTTCTTAGAGACGTCCTTTGTGACCCACTAACAGGTGTAAGCTAAGCAAGACTAATCTACAGGTGCTCAATAGACATAACAAACCACTTGATTCTGTCCAATACTTTGTCTCTGATTAAAGACCCTTACATTCCTTTTCACTAACTCCTAGTCTTTTACACACACACAGAGCCTCTTTCAGCCAATTGTCAGCTAAAGAATCTTTAAACCGGCCTATAACCTGTAAGCTCCCTTCCAGATGTCCCCCTTTTTGGGGCCAAACCAATGTATATTTTCCAAGTATTGATTTATGACCTCACCTGTAATCCATGTCTTCCTAAAATGTATAAAACCATACCATAACCCCACCAGTTCCAGTCCACGTGGTTATGGCTTCTTGGGTATGGCTCCAAGTTATGGTCCTCAAATTTGGCTCAGAATAAACCTCCTTAAATTAAAAAAAAAAAAAAAAAAGAAAGAAACATTAACCTAGGTTCTTGCCACCACATCTGTAAATCATTTTGGTTAACAATGAGGCACATGGATTGAAGCATTTTCTGGGGTTTCAGGGCAAAAATGATTATTAGGTATTACATATACAGACATTTTCTGAAAGTATCTCAGAAAGTAAAAGCTCCACGCTTGTGAGGATTTCCAGCATGAATCTTAAGAACAACAAAGGTCTATAGTTTCTTTTGTTTGAAAGATTCACGTGATACCAGGAGAAGTCAGCAAAGAAAAAAATGTAACTGAAATATTGGCCCTAGTAAAAAGCTTTGAGAATACTAATTGATAAAACTATTGAATTTTAAAAATGAATTATAAAAATGGGGTGAGAGTACACAAAGTTTACATTATTCATAGTGAAGCAAGTGTAGGGAATCTGAAATTGAAAATTATTTTACAGATAAAATTGTCTAATTGAAAACAAACAGGTGCTTTCAATATGATTTTGATGTTTCCTTAGTTAATTATGTAATAAATCTTGACTAAACCTTTAAAATGCTTTTTTTGCCTTCCAGTGCAACAAAATCTGAAAATTCTTTTATTGGAGGGCTTAAAAATATATACTATGTATTTAAGTCCAAAAAAATATAGGATGGCAATGATTGTCATGAACCCAGTTAATTGATCTCTTTATGAATTTATTTTAGAAGGGGGTGTCTAAAATTTACTGAGTTCCTACTTTGTGCTAGAATTCCTGCTAGAGCTTTTATACATATTCTAGGAAAAAAGTATAAAATATTGCTTATTAGGAAAACACTAAAATTAAAAATGTAAATGCAAATTTGCTAATTATTTGGTAGCAGCCATTGTATTCCTAAAGTAAAGTATAATCCTTCACTTGTTACTCTTTACATTTCCTGGGAGAGAGACAGATGGCCAAGGAAACAAAGAGAAGTTTAATAATTTCCATGATGTAAGTCTGTAATAACTCTCCTATTGCTTCTACTTACATCAAAGTAATGCATTCAGCAGCTAATGATTAAAATATAGATATAGATTTTAAGCAGTAATAGAATTAGTGTTAGTAATAGCTTTTTTATTTTGAATTATTTCATTAGATTCCTGAATTTAATATTACATTAAAATTTATAGATATGTTTGAAGTAGTAATTCTTAAGACTTTAATTATATAGATAGCTCACTTTGCATATTCCATTTTGCCTCATAATCTTAAAATATAGACTATTTTAAGATGTAAAATACTTTTCAAACATCTCAAAAGCTTAAAGATTGTTGGCATAAAATATTTTTTATGTTAATAGGGATTGCTTTCCATACTATTTCATTAATGGTGATCCCACCTCAATATTAGGTTAACCTTGGTAATTAGTTCATTAGGTCTTACTCCTGCCTTGGAGCATTTCTTCTCAAATAATGTCACATGACACAAACAGTCGATAACTGCTAAAGGGCATCATAATAATCTGAACCAAAATTTTGGGATGAGAACTTTGAACACATACAGACCTTCCCCCCCGACTTTGTTTTAAATTCTTCTTGATCTTTTCCCAGTAAAATTAGTTGAACATTTTTCTTTCTGTTGTAACAGATGTAAAGTCATTCTACAAATAATATTTTCTAGGTAGAATTTTCAGTCTATATATTCTGCTGGTATTTCCATATCATCAAACATTCTTCTGTAACATCATTTTTAGTGACTGCAAATTATTTTGGTAGGTAGAATATAATTTATTTACCAGCCTCTTCTTGTTAATTTTTTTCTCTTTGATATTCATATAGCTAAACTTTTGCATGTATCCACAATTAATTCCTAGAAGGATAATTGTTACATTAAAAATAATATAAAATCTTGACACTACCTTAGCAAAAGGCATGTTACATAACCGTATAGTTTATATAGCAAGTATCCATGTTCCTCAACCTTCAATGACAGTTTATTTTTATTAGTAGTATTAAGTCTTTGTCAATATAGTAAGAAATAGTTTTAACATCCCATTGTTTTATTCTGTAAACAATGACATGAGAGGGACATTTTCTAAAAGGTCTGTAAGTAGCACTGTACAGGGGACCCAAACCTCATCAGATTGAACGTGCCCAGACCCCTCACTCTACATATATATTAATTACATTAAAATTATAAAAATATGAAGTTAACTAATTTAATGCAGGGCAAAGGCCAGTTGCAACTCAGATTTTCTTTTAAAATAAAGAATATTAATAATTAAGTTTGTGAAAACTGTGAAACTAGTTTTCACAGTGAAGGTAGCTAGTTGACATGATTTTATTTTCTCTGCAAGATATATTTAAAGTACAAATCTTATTGAAACTGTGAATTTTCTTTGATGAAGTGTACGTTCTGAATGTATTTAATTTTTCAGTTCTGGTACATTTCCATTCCTTTTAAAAAGTATTTCAATTCAAAATGTCACTTGCACAGCCACATGTAGAATCTGAAACAGGATCCACACTTCTGATCACTCACAAAAATTAATCCATGATGGATAATAGATGAAAATATGACTTAAATAAAAAATATTTTTATATATGATTTTTAAATACATGTTAAAAGATCATTTATGTGTTGTGAGATACTCCTTGAAATAGGTCTGTCAAATCAAAAGATTTAACATGTTATTTATAGGAAATTGACCATATTAAGATAGAGTTACCCATTACTGTGTAACAAATTATTATAATATCTAGCAGCTTGAAACAACAAATATTTATTATCTCACATATTTTCTGAGGATCAAGAAATCAGAAGCAGCTTAGCTGGGATGTTCTAAGCTAGGGACTGTAGTGAATTTGCAGGCAAACTTTGACCAGAAGAGGGCCAGTCTCTGAAGATTTGTCAAGAGCCTAGGGATCTGCTGTATGTAGTCATTTTAGCATGATGCAATTCTGTTTGTCTGTTTTGGGTTTTATTGCCTGTGTTTTAAGGTCTTAAAAAAAATCTCTTTGCCCACATCAATGTCTTGTAGTGATTCCCTAATGTTTTATTTTAGTAGTTTCGTATGTTTAAATCTTTAAATCATTTTGAGTTGATGTGTATGTGTGACAAAAGATGGTTAGTTTCCTTCTGCATAAGGATATCGAATTTTCCCAGCACCACTTATTAAGAGATTGTCCTTTCCCCCAGAGTATATTCTTGGTAACTTTGTCAAAAATTATTTGGGTGTACATGCATGGATTTATTTCTAGATTCCCTCATTGTTTTAATGTGATTGTTTTAATGTCAGTGCCAATCTGTTTGGGTTATTGTAGCTTTGTAGCATAATTTAGAGGTTTAAAATGAGAATTACTTTAATAGTCATTTTATATCACTTGGGAGCCAAGTAGGATTGATGTCATGGAATGGATGTAAGGGATTCTGTAATGACTTTGTTTTATTCATTCGTTTATTTATTTATAGACAAAGTCTCTCTGTGTTTCCCAGGCTGTCATGCAGGGGTTTCATCACAGCTCACATGACCCTCAAACTCCTGGACTCAAGTGATCTTTCTCCTCAGCCTCCCCAGTCACTAGGACTACAGACCTATGCCACAAAGCTTGCCTAGTTTTTTTTTTTTTTTTTTAACTTCTTGTAGGATGGTGTCTAGCTATGTTGCTTAGGCTTATCTTGAACTCCTGGTCTCAAGTGATCTTCCCACCTTGGCCTCCTAAAGTGCTAGGATTATTTTCATAAACCACTTCACTCAGCCTGTAATAACTTTCATATAGCCAACTTTGTTTTAGAATTTCTTTCTTTTTCCTTAAAAGAGCAGAGATACAACTGATTGGATAATTTTATCTTTTTTTTTTTTTTTAGGTCTCCTAAAAACCCAGAACAGAAGATTATTAAGAGAGTGATTGCACTTGAAGGAGATATTGTAAAGTAAGTACTTAAACTATTGTTTTTGAGTTTAAGTTTTAAATATCTAGATTTTTGTTTAAGTTAAATCGTATTTCCTGGGCAGCACATTTCAATTCAGAGGGCCAAAACTTCAGAGACATGCCAGATGAGCTGACACATCTTTAGTGAGCATTATTTCAGGATATAAGGCTTAGATAGGCTTACCGAGCATATTGTTATTCTTTAATTGTGAGGTATGAGAGAAATAAATATTAATTAAACCACACACTCTAAAATGACTGTTAAATTATTGTTTTTCAGATATGAAAATTAGCACCATTGTTTTAAGATTGCAATTGTTAAAGTTTATTTTAGAAAAATCCAAGACCATTCTATTATTTTATAAGCTAATACAGAAACTAAGAGGAATGTTTCGTAATCATAGAGATGGTGGAAAACTGCAAGCATATGAAACAGAAACTTGAATCAGTGACAAGAATGGAAGCTTTAATAATACCATTGTAACAATCAGGTATTTAAGTATCCTGTAGTAAAATCTTATTTATTCTACTTGCTGATACATCAAGAAAAATGTTTGATGACAAGTCTCATTTTGATTGGTTTATTTAAAGAAGTTATAGCTGAAATACTGTGAAAACTACATTTAAGAATTTTCTTATTCCTGTTTTCTCAAAATACTGAAACCTCAAGTGTGTTTGATAGTACATATTAGCAATCTCAACAAAATGAACCTCAGTTGGATTTAGACCAGAATCTAGGCCCACAGTTTTCAAAAGATGGCCCCAGGGTCCTGGGGGATCTTTAAGACCTTTATAAGAGGGTCATTGAGATCAAACTACTTCCCTAATAGTATTAAGGCATTATTTGCCTTTTTTACTCTCATCCTCTTCTGTGTGTACATCAGAATTTTCCAGATATGTAATATTGCAATAGATTGAATGCAAGAGCTGTTTTTCATTAAACCAGACATTAAAAAGATTTACTAAAAAATCAGAAAATACCACTTTCCTCTCTATATTTTCTTTGTTCCAAAAAATAGCAACTTTTTCATTAAAATATTTTCATTATGTTAACATGGGTTTATTGTTATTCAAATTGAATCAAAATATTTTTTAGACATCCTTTAATGCCTAAAATGGTAGGTATTATAGTTAGATAGTATGCACATCAACAAATGTCCTGTGGGATCTTCAATTATTTTTAAAGGTATAAATGAGTTCTGAGACCAAACAACTTGAAAACTTCTTGATACAGGAATCTATGGAAAACATTTTCAGGAGTGGATTAACTGCTCATTAGTAGCCTGAATGATATCAAATGAAGCTATTGTATTGAGGTATGGTTTGTATGATTTATCTGCATGGGTATTTGTTTGCTATTTTTTTCCTTCTAAAAGATTTTTTGAGGTATAATTTATATATGATATCATTGTCCCTTTTCAAATACATAGCTCAAAGACCTTTTTATAAATTTATACAGTTTGTGTATTCTGCACCACAATCTAGTATTTGAACACTTTCATTTCCACTCCAAGTTCCTTCCTGCCTATTTGCACTTAATTCCAGCTTCCACTCCCAGTCAGGCAACCACATGTCCACTTTCTGTCCCTATAGTCCAGCCTTTTCTAGAAATTTTATTTAAATTGAATTATGCAAAATATAGTCTTCTGTGTCTTTTTTTTTTAACTTAGAAGAATGTTCTTTAGTTTTCTCTGTGCTGTGCATGTATGCTATTTGTAGTTCATTTTTATTGCAGAGTGTAAACCGTTGTATGGACCTACCACATTTTGTTGATTCATTCACAAGTTGGTACACATTAAGATTGTTTTCCATTCAGTTCAGTAGGATAGTATTCCTAGGGGTATTTGTGTAAATCCTATGAACATTTGTGTTTTTTGGTGGAAATATGTTCTCATTTCTGTAGAGTATACACTTGGCCTTCTTTATCTACATACCTGTGTTCAACTGTGGATTGAAAAGATTCAGAGAGATAAAAAGGATAGTTATGTCTGTACTAAACATGTGCAGACACTTGTTTTTGTCATTATTCCCTAAATAATAGAATATGAGAACTGTTTTATATAAGATTTACATTGTATTAGGTATTATAAGTAATCTAAAAATGACAACGTATGTGGGATGATATAAATATATATGAATACTACATCATTTTAGATAGGAGACTTGAGCATCTGTGGATTTTGGTATCTATGAGGGGTCCTGGAACCAATTCCTTACCGATACAGGGGTGGCTGTATACCCAGGGAGGCTGAGTGTTATGGTAATTATATGTTTAACTTTTCAGGAAGCTGCCAAACTCTCTTACAAAGTGGCTATATCATTTTATGTTCCAGCAACAATATACAAGGGTTCCAGTTTCTATACTTCCTTGCCAGCACCTGGCATTGTGAATATTCTGATTATAGCCATGCTAGTGAGTGAGAAGTAGAATCTCATTGTGGTTTTGATTTGTGTTTTTCTGAAGACTAATGATATTGAGCATTTATCCATGTGTACACTTATAATTCATATCTCATCTTGGGTAAAGTATCTGTTCAAATTATTTGCCCAGTTTTGTATTGAGTTATTGTTTGAGTTCTAAAATGTTCTTTGATTTTTATTACTTTAATAAAGTAGCCATTTTGGAAAGGCATGTGTATAATGCTGTGATTTAGGTCAAGAATAAAGTATATTAGTATAAAAGGGCTTAGTTATCATTTTGTATAAAATATGCATTGTAAATTGGAAGAACTTGGTGACTTTTTTTCATTTTTAGAAGAGCCTATCCAGTCTTCTGATTTCTGTAGAAAAGTAAGAAGAGTAGTAAATTCAGAAAACCATTTGCTAGCCATCCATAAATATTATATATATGTATATATGTGTGTGTATAGATATATATATATATATTTTTTTTTTTTTTTTTTTTGCAGTTTTTGACTGGGGCTGGGTTTGAACCCACCACCTCCTGTATATGGGGCTGGTGCCCTACTCCTTTGAGCCACAGGCGCTGCCCTCCAAAATATACTTTTTGTATTTGGAAAATCGTATATGGAGATCATGCAAATACTATTCAAAGAAGAGTCAGGAAACCTTGAAGCCAGTCACAAAAGATAACATATCGTACAATTCCATTTATATGAAATATCCAGAATATACAAATTCATAGAAAGAGAAATAGATTAGTAGTTCTTAGAGGCATGGAAAGGAGGAATAGGAATTGCTGTTAATGAATATAGGGTTTTTGTTTTCTTTTACAGAGTATAGAAATGTTCTCAAGTTAGATAGTGGTGTTGGTTATACAACTTTATGGCTATACTATATTAAAAACATTGAGTTATATGTTTTAAATAGGTAAATGCTATGTTATGTCAATTATGTCTTAACAAAGCTATTTTAAAAACCCCAAAATATTAATTTAAAAAGGCAAAATTTTCATCCACATAAAGTAATCTAACAGAATTAGGAATTTCATCCATTTTACATTATAATCCATAGAAACTACAACTCAGATGTATCATTATTGGTCACTAAATGAACAGTGAACAATATGAGATTGCTAAGCTTGATCAGTCATAAAAAGCTGTGGCATAAAACAGAAATCCTCCAGCCTGAGCTGGAGTGAGAACCTGTCTGTAAAACTAGCTGGGTGTATTTTTATCTACCCAGAAGAACAAAAATCATTTTACCATAAAGACGTTTTCACCAGAATGTTTACTGCAGCTCAATTCATAATTGCCAAATTGTAGAAGCAACCCAAATGCCCATCAACCCATGAACGGATTAACAAACTGTGGTATATATATGTGCCATGGAATACTATTCAGCAATAAAAAGATGGAGACTTTACATCTTTTATGTTTACTTGGATGGAATTGAAGCACATTCTGCTTTGTAAAGTATCTCAAGAATGGGAAAATATATATATAAGGTACTCAATACTAATATGAAATCAATATATAACCAAGTACATGCCCACATGAATGATAAAACACAAATATAGCCTACCAAGGGAGAGGAGAGAGAAGGAAGAGGGGGAGGGCAATTGGCCAGAGGAGGGAGGGCAGTTGATGCAGTGTCACCTAATGTACACTATGGGAGGGCGTTCAGCACACCCCATTGTGTTCAACTACAACTTGAATTTTACCTTGTAAGTGAGAACAATGTAACCTAAAAATTTATATCCTCATATGAATTTGAAATAAGAAATAAATAAAGAAAATAAAACTAGTCAGGTATTGTAGCATGTACATATAGTCCTAACTACTTGGGAAGTTGACAGAGGAGGATCGCTTGAGCCCAATAGTTTGAGGTTGTTGTGAGCTATGATGCTACAGCACTCTACCCAGGGTGACAGAGGAAGACTCTGTCTCAAAAAGTGAAAACAAAAGAAAACAAAACAAAAAGAAATAAAAAATCCTACAATAGATCTCTCTGAGAAACCATCAAAGCCATTGCTTTCCTTGGTACATGTAAGTACTGGGTTCACAGAGCAGAACCAGAGCCAGAACTAAGGTTAATGATACAAAGATGGAGGTTGAGGGGAAAGAAGTTGAACGAAGTAACAGGTTTGTAACCCTTCTCCCCACTGCTGGGCCTCTCATGTGCTAAGTCTGCAAATTGACGTCAGGCCATATGACCATGTCTGTCCCCTTCACTACATCTCTATCATGGAGAAATGGCTAGAATCATGGCAGTACTTAGCCTCAAGTCTTTCTTTCTGTGTGGCCTCTCAAACAATTTGATAATTGACTGGGAAAATAATCCTTTTGGGGTGTTTGGTGTTTTTAAAGAAAACTGAAAATGTCTTTTCCTTGAAATTTTGGTACTTAATGATCCTAGGCTTCTAATTTTTTTAAAAAAAATTTATTCAAATTAATATGAGGGTACAGTATTTAGGTTACATTGTTCTCACTTCCAGGGTAAAATTCTATTTGTGGAAGAGCCCCCCCCCCCAGGGGGCATTTTATTCACCCTCACAATGTGCACATTAGGTGAGATCTTACCTCATGCCTACCCTCCTTC